AGGTGCGCAAAGTACTACAAAAACAAGGACAAGGACCATGAGGTAAATGCAGTTGTGCGCATCATCATTTAAGGGCGCTCCGTAGAAACACACACTTATGGTACATATGACGGATACGCATACACTGTGTCGCGTCGTATGGGCGTTGTGTGCATGCTTACCTTCCAAAGGGAATAACCAAGAAGGGCGACGGTGACGGCGGACAAGAAGAAGAGTACGGGAGTAGTGGCGGTAAGGATGTCGGCGGTTAGGTCGGGAACAGCATAGTCACCTGGCTTCTCACGCCGGTTGTCAGGCGGTGAACTGTATTCTTTCTCTTTCAATGTTGGTGGTGCTATGCCACCTGCTACATTCCCTATGCCTGGTGGAGTTATATTTGTTGGGTCGAAATCTTACTCTTCAGTGAATGAGGAGCCAGGCTTTTGGTGACCAGTAGAACCACTACCAGAGGAACCTGGTTTTTCGGGCTCCGTGGAAGCAGTACCAGTAGCACCCGGCCCTGAAGAACCTGGGGTTTGGTGACCAGTGGAACCATTACCAGAGGATTGACCTCCTCCACTGCCTTGGGTAGGAGCACCTCCGCCTTTGCCTTTCCCACCAGAAACTCCATCCGCCAAATCCGCATCACTGAAACTGCCACTACTACCCGATTGATTTGGGTTCGTGTTCGGTTTTGGTTTGGGTGGATTGAGAGGAGGGGGGTCATCGTTGGTGCCATCGACGATGGTATTCTTGTTGTCGGGGTCTTCGGGTTGTACACCAGCACCAGTGCCCAGTGCATCTGGATTCGATGCTGTGCTGTCGCGTCCGGACCCGGATGCCCCTGTAGGAGGTATCTGCTCATTATTAGTTACCTCTGGAGCCTTCGGACCTGGTGTTGTTGGTGCTGCTTCTGGTGTCGGTGCTGCTGCCGGTGCGGAGGCGGCTGCCGGCGGTGAATCCGCCGGACCGGTACCTGTCGTGTCCGGTGTATTTCCAGTACCTGTGATTTTGAAGCAACAGAAGGTGAAAGGGATGAAACTGAAGTTTTCTACGGTGCATGGCCACATGGACGGCCAGACGGTTGTGGTTGGTCCGGCGCTGGATGGTGGTCCACATGGTCGGTCGCATGGTTCACGAGGGTATGGGGGCACGGTGCTTACGGTGCACCCGGTAAAAGACTCGCTCTCTGTGCCACACACAACACACACAGTGTGTCTGTCGGTCTGCATCTACGTCGACGTCTACCTCCCGCGGCCGACCCATCGCTCTACATCACTCTGCCGCTCACGGTGCCCGTCATTCTCATGCGACGTTTGGTTTCTCTCTCTCCGTGGTGTCTCTCCCTCTCTCTCCGGAAATGTTGTTTCTGTTTTTTTGTGTTTTTTTGTTTTTGTTTTTTGTTTCCTGTTGTCCGTGTCCGACTATTCATTATTCGTACCTGTTGGTACATTCTGTGTAGTTGTGGAAGTGCCTATGGATATTGTTGTTGAACCCGTACTACCGTAGAGACCCCACTTCCCGGAGTCATACTCGTCCTCCA